CGTATTTCTTCAAATACCCTACTTGCATACGCAGTTCCTTAGAAATGGCATCGTATTGTTAAAAAAAAAACATTGTATATAGGGAAGCAAATACAATTAATAGCCTAGTGGGCATGGTGAGGTGGGGGGCGGGGGGGGGAGGGGGGGTTGATACCCGAGCTACATTGTACCATCCGCTCTTTTTTTCCAATAGTCTCGTTTCAGGGAAGCTTTTTACAAGGAAAATATAATAACAGCTATTGTTCGTCGGCTGCAAACAGATAATGAAGAGCTCCAAGGTTACTGTGCTAATGCGATATTTAAGGTGAGTTGGCGGCCACTAGACTGACTGAGTCAGGTTTGCCCACTACTCTCCCCTCCCCTCCCCCCCGCTAACAATAGTGATTCTAAACGAGAAAATTGCCATGTGGAAGACTCACTGGAGATTTTCCTACACTATTTTAGAATTATTTTTGGTGCTCAATTCCGATATTCTCATGACATTTTTCTTAAGTAACCAATCATATCATAGAGGGATATTAGATGCTGATCACGACAAATCACGACTAGGGCTCAAAGGGTTGCAAGAAGATAATGTTAGGCCCGTGTCGATAATTTTCCCGCCTTTTTATCGCAGTGTGCAGAGGACGAAGGCACGAGGAAAGCTGTGTATGACTGCGGAGGACTGGACACACTCGTTTCACTCCTCTCCCGCCAAGATAACAAGAAGCTGTTGGCCGCAGTGACAGGAGCTATTTGGAAATGTGCAATAAGTGAATACAACGTAAAAAGGTATTGATGGTGTACTGATACACTGGAAAGGGCCAAGCGAGTACAAAAGGGAGAATATTATTGAGGACTTGACCTGGTGTTTTCTCAAGTTTAGCGGGCTTCCAAGAATAGCATGTCTACAGGCAAAACGACTTATTTATGTCAGAACTTGAATTAGTAACCGAATTCCACTAGAGAAGTAACCAGTTGTCTGCCTTCATCCTCTTATTCTCGTGCAGTGGATCCATTACCGCACTTAAACGGAAAATTTGATTTCATTACAATAGTTTAGGTAAGATTTAACTTTCAGAGCTCCAAGTGTAAATTTGGCTAGAGTTTTACCAATTTCAAAGAAATGCAAAAGTCTCCGTCACCACCCGCTTGCTAGAGGAAATTAGTTGATTTCGGGCGGTTCTCATCATGCGTGCCGGGTGGGGCGGATGTACTTGTAGGAACCCATTTTCTCTTTCCTTTCTCCTATTCTCTTTCTTTTTCATTTCCATGTTCAGTATTTCTCTTATTCATACCTAGTCTTGAACGTTATGTCATAAGCTGAAGACTAACCGTTATTCTCTCACTCAGACTGATGGAAGTCAACGTTGTGGAGACACTTGTTAAACTTCTTCAAGCAGAAGAAGAAACAGAGGAACTTCCGGAACAGGTTAGTTGCGCAGATTNTGATACCCGAGCTACATTGTACCATCCGCTCTTTTTTTCCAATAGTCTCGTTTCAGGGAAGCTTTTTACAAGGAAAATATAATAACAGCTATTGTTCGTCGGCTGCAAACAGATAATGAAGAGCTCCAAGGTTACTGTGCTAATGCGATATTTAAGGTGAGTTGGCGGCCACTAGACTGACTGAGTCAGGTTTGCCCACTACTCTCCCCTCCCCTCCCCCCCGCTAACAATAGTGATTCTAAACGAGAAAATTGCCATGTGGAAGACTCACTGGAGATTTTCCTACACTATTTTAGAATTATTTTTGGTGCTCAATTCCGATATTCTCATGACATTTTTCTTAAGTAACCAATCATATCATAGAGGGATATTAGATGCTGATCACGACAAATCACGACTAGGGCTCAAAGGGTTGCAAGAAGATAATGTTAGGCCCGTGTCGATAATTTTCCCGCCTTTTTATCGCAGTGTGCAGAGGACGAAGGCACGAGGAAAGCTGTGTATGACTGCGGAGGACTGGACACACTCGTTTCACTCCTCTCCCGCCAAGATAACAAGAAGCTGTTGGCCGCAGTGACAGGAGCTATTTGGAAATGTGCAATAAGTGAATACAACGTAAAAAGGTATTGATGGTGTACTGATACACTGGAAAGGGCCAAGCGAGTACAAAAGGGAGAATATTATTGAGGACTTGACCTGGTGTTTTCTCAAGTTTAGCGGGCTTCCAAGAATAGCATGTCTACAGGCAAAACGACTTATTTATGTCAGAACTTGAATTAGTAACCGAATTCCACTAGAGAAGTAACCAGTTGTCTGCCTTCATCCTCTTATTCTCGTGCAGTGGATCCATTACCGCACTTAAACGGAAAATTTGATTTCATTACAATAGTTTAGGTAAGATTTAACTTTCAGAGCTCCAAGTGTAAATTTGGCTAGAGTTTTACCAATTTCAAAGAAATGCAAAAGTCTCCGTCACCACCCGCTTGCTAGAGGAAATTAGTTGATTTCGGGCGGTTCTCATCATGCGTGCCGGGTGGGGCGGATGTACTTGTAGGAACCCATTTTCTCTTTCCTTTCTCCTATTCTCTTTCTTTTTCATTTCCATGTTCAGTATTTCTCTTATTCATACCTAGTCTTGAACGTTATGTCATAAGCTGAAGACTAACCGTTATTCTCTCACTCAGACTGATGGAAGTCAACGTTGTGGAGACACTTGTTAAACTTCTTCAAGCAGAAGAAGAAACAGAGGAACTTCCGGAACAGGTTAGTTGCGCAGATTTTCCAAAGTCACTCTTAACTAACCTGACTCTGATAAATGCAAAAAAAGTAATTACCTTCTTATTCTTAAAAGCGTTCAAACGATATATTGTAAGATGATGCTACAGAAAATAAAGTCATACTCCCTTTCAAACTTGTTTCTTGAAATTATATTAACTATCGTGCGCTGTACCTGTACAATCTCTAGTTTTAACCACGAGAAATCCTTGGCATGGTTTGCATCTCTTCTAGCCTTCCGCTATGTTCCCAGCTGGCCCCTTTGACCTGCATCTCCAATTGTTCTGAGGGTTAGAAGTATTGTACTGCTTCCTAATCTATCATTTGGTAAAACTAGCTATAACACTTGTAAGTTGTAACACGTACTGAGTTTACTCGTCCCCTACTCATACGCGCCATTTGACTTTCTATCGTTTTCATAACCCGATTAAGGTTCAACTTCACATTGTCGGAGCCATAGCAGAACTTGCCAAAGATCCTACAGCTCCGCTGGAAATGCTACGATGCAAAGGTTGCAGGACTTTAGTTGACATTCTCAACATACCAAATGAGGAACTTACCAGTACAGCGGCAAGAGCTATTGCCGCGTGCGCGGTAGAAGTTGGCTGTCGATCGTAAGTGGTGATAGTGCTATTCTTATTTTTTAAAAATTATTCATGTCCTTGGTGTTTCCTTTTTAAAAAAGATGATGCTGTGGTTTTCACCGTCCGACAGAAAAGACCCAGAAAAATTTTCAATCTTTGGAAATAAAAAACTCGTATAGCCCAAGCAGTCAACTCTTGGGCTACAATCGATTTAAAGAAAGTTACCAATTTGTTTGAAATTAGCCTTTCCATAGAAAAAAGTCAAATTTACAAAATTTCGCACGAAAAGGGTTTACAAAGTAAAAAAAAGCAATTCCCATGTTTTATGGTAAGACTTTACAGGGATATACGTATCGGAATTCAGTAAGTAAAGCTCGCGTTATTACAAAACGATCACTTTTTTCCCTTCATCTGGTGACTTTTAATTATTACAACAAACACATCGTACAGCTTTTAAAATTACAAGTGACTTTTGATCTGGACTAGCTCAGTTGCATCTAAGTATACTTTATTTCAGAGTATTCAATAGATTGGAAGGACTAAGACTTCTGTGGTCCCTAATGAAGTCGAGAAACAACAAGGCGAGTAGTATATGAGTATATATTGATGATATATTGTACTAAAATGACATTAAGGTACTTTTTACAAACGATCGCATCGCTACTAGTAGATTACTGCTAACAGCAGATTTAAAGAAAACTAAAGGTTTTGCTTGATGCTGCTGATTTTTCAGGTAGTTTCTGGTGCAGCGTGGGCAGTGTACAGACTAATGCAGGACACACCGGTACGGAATACATGAAATTCGAACCATATGCACAGATGTGATTATTGGATAGTGGGCGATTTCGCCCAAGAAACTGTCTTGACTTGCGTTTAAGCCTTGTTATAATGCGCTTATAGTTAACAAGAAAGTTTTATACTGGAAATGCAATCGTCCAAAAAATTAAATTGAGGAGAGTTTCAGAGTTTCCGGTTCACTAGCTACGTGAGGTCGCGTGCACAAACGTTTACTTGAACACAACTTTCAGTTACATCCGTTCTTACTTATATCAGGGTTAAATTGATTTCTGTAATGAGATCAAATTCAAATTTTTCCGTAGGAGGCCTGGGAAACAGCCCGATCTTTTGTTGGAGGACTGGATCTGAGTGTTCGTCTGCTTAAGTCACATGACTTGGAGGTAAGTTGCAACTGTTCACTGAAAAAAGTTGCCAAACTGAAGACAACTAAGAGAAGTGGTTATCCACGCATTCTTCTACACACATTGTATTCGAAAAGAAACCATTACAGCCACTCAAATAATTTACTTCCGTTACCATTTTACGTTGCACATCGCGAAGGTATAAAACATCTTTTCAACTATTTCAGGTTCTTACAAGCGCATGCGCAGTGATATCTATCGTGGCCTGTGATCGAGAGAATCTGGGCGTCATCACAGATTACGGCGTTGTTCCTCACTTGGCTCACCTTACGTATATGGTAAGAAGATAATCCGCTGTACTAATTTAAAACTGCTGGAGCAGCACATTCTTAGAGATGAATGAAGGGTTTGTTTATTTTTAGAGATTAGCAAGGTTATTGTCATCAATAGACTTACATCAACATAAAGATTTCATTGTTGGCATTATCAGTACTTTCCATCATCATTGTTATCGTTATCTTTATCGTCATCGTTATGGTCATAATCATAACCCCTCTAACATCAGTATCTCTCCTTTACCATCGCGAATCGCCATAACTATAAGTTGTAAAAGCTGTAATCATTACTAGTTGTCGTCATCTTCGTAATTGTTGTTTTTGTTGTTGCGTCCTCATGGATTTCGACACTCTCATTATATACTCCCGGCTACTGTCAGGAGCCCATTATCCGGAGCTAGCAACTCCCATACTAGGCCTATGTCACGGCGTTTTTACGGATCAATATATATTTAGACACATTTTAGGGCACTTTTTCCCGCGAAAATAGAATCTCCACCATGTCTATAGGCGCACTGGAAGTATAAGATATCAAAAAGGAAAACGGAACGTAATTAAAAGGCAAAAAATACATTTTTTAGGTCTGTAGGTGTTGCTGACTAGTTGTGGAGTTTAAAAAATATTCAAAATTTGCGTCAAAACCGTTCTAAAAATAAACTGGTCCGAGAAAACGAGGTGACACAAGCGCAAGGAAGTTGCTCGCTCCTGCTACTGTATATTTCTGAAAGCCTTGTTATCGGCTATAGTGTATGTATGCGAAGCTTGTTTGCCCAGAAATGCAAGGTTTCTATTGGTTTTCTGCATAGCGTGCACATGCAAAGATCGTTTTCACTTGAACTCGTTGCGTCAACAACATGTCTATCACCATAGTCCATTTTTTGTCATTTTTCTAGACTGACATACGTCTTAGGCGTCACTTGGCTGAAGCTATTGCTATGTGCAGCAAATGGGGCAACAATGCAAAACGCTTCTGTGACGTAGGTGCTGTCAAGCCTATGGTAGAGTACCTGGGATCACATGACATCATTGTGCAGCGGTCAGCAATGCGGGCTCTTGAACAACTAGGCAAGAATCCGGAAAGCTGTATCATAATGCACCGGAGTGGAGTCGTCAAGGTAACGAGCCTCTTTTCAAAGTATCATGACTTTTCCCTTGCTAAACCAAATATCTACAAAGCACATGCTTTCTCTTACTGCTAAGGCCTAAGGCAAAGCAAACGTCTCAAAAGGTTCCAGACAGAAAACGGGTATTAAAAGGAGCAACACAGCTTTTAAACTCGTTTTGTAAACCAAGTTGAACGTTTCTGTTGCCCGTTTTTATACTTAGCGTTACCAAGACCAATTGTATGATCCTGTTTTGATTTGCAGCTCTTGTTGGAGATGGTTGGTTCTGATGATGCTGGACTACAGGAGGCTGCCGCTGGATGTTTGTTGAACATGCGACAGCTAGCGATGGCCAATGAACGAGCGAGACAGGAGAAGGAATCGAGGAACAGTGACTCGGAAGCTAATTGATGTTCTTTAGCAACAAAAACAATTAGCTATAGTGGATTTGAGTGTCTTAAAATTTGATTCGCCCGAGGATTACTTAAAAAATCATTTGCACTTAAACCGTGACAAGACCTTTTTGAAACAATGTCACAGGTTTGTCGGTTTCAGTTAATTTGATGGAAGCCTCTGGCGTTTTGGAAACAAATAAATGTTTAGGTCTTACAAGGAAAGAAGGAGATATTTTACTTAGTCATTGTCTACTCTTGGCTAGGTTTTATAAATATCTTTAGTTGCAAATACAACAATTTATAACTATCTGTAGTAGAATATATTTGTAAGAAGTAACTTTATAATTGAAAAAAAAATTTCAGTTATTAATTAAAGGAATTCAGAGAAAATCTTTGAAGAAAAGTGGAAAACAATTATTCAGAAAAGGCATTTATTTGAGTGAAGTCTCCTTTTTTCCCCCTGCTTTTCAAAGAAATCCAATAGTGAACAGATTCCAAAAGTCAAAAGAAAATATTTCTTCTACGCAATATATTGCCTTCGTGCAGACGTCTCCTATTTCCTTTGTTGCACGCGGAAAATGGTCCCTTTTCCGCGTGCAACAAAGGAAATAGGAGACGTCTGCACGCAGGCAACGCAATATACTGTCTAGCAACCTTCCACTCAATTTGTTAACTAATTTTGTTTCTTTTGTATTAAGTGTATTTCTTTTGTTTTTAAGTATCTATGTTTATGTAATGTCTGTTAGAAGGAAATAAATGAAATTTTAAAAAAAATGAATGGCTTTGTAGCTCGTGAATACTTTTATCGAGAGCTTTCATGGTCACACAAAAAAGTTCCGTAAATATAAGTGCCTATTTTGAAAAACTGGTACTTCGAGTGCGTTTCTGGAAAGCCCTGGTAACGTTTCTGGGTTGAAACCAAATATTATTTGTTTCTATTTGTTACCTAGCTGTATTATCTTCAAAGCTAATAAAAAACGATCTTAAATGCAAACAAAATAGCATTCCGGGCTCGGTAATTACCGGGACTTTCGAGAAATGGGCCTGTAAGTAATTATAATTTAACACAGTACATCCTAGGCTACAATTTTGGACAGAATAAAATGGAACAGCAAACTTCCATAGCCCCCATCCCACCCCCCACCCCAACCAAATCAAGGATGAAGCCAAGCCAAGGGCAAAAACCGGCCATTTTTCCATCTTTGATTTTGGGGGGAGGGGGAGGAGGAGCGGGAGGGGGAGGGGTTTTCCGTTTATTTTCTCCAAGATTATAGGTGACACTTGCCTCCTCCACAGAGAACTGCTATTGTAACGGTTATATTGACCGTGAGGAGTCTGAGAACGAGAAAAGGAGAAAAAAAATGCCACTCCCCGTTCTCTCCCAATTCTCCACTCGTTCCCTAAGACAGAACAGTAAATCCGGCGGAGAAGGCTAGGTTTACACTATGAAGAATGTTTCTGGATTTATCTTATTTATGCCAAGTACTCTGATCGCAGGCGTTTTCACACATAGATTAATCCGAGAAGGTAGAATGCTTAATTACCGTATTTATTCGAATAAGCGCCCAAACTCGAGTTAGCGCCCACCTCGAATAAGCGCCCATCCTAAAGGCAGAAAAAGTTAATAAGCGCCCACCCTTGAATAAGCGCCCACCCCCTACTCCTCCCAATCAAACTCAAATAAGCGCTCACCCCACCCAACCCACTTGAGTGAATAAATTCTAATAAGAGACTTCCCCGAGGACGAATTCTTCTTCAGAGTATTTTACAGAAACCTTGCTTTGTTACTTCTTAGCGTTTTGTTATTAGCATTTATTGTTTTGTTACAAAATAAACATTCTTCACTTGCCGAAAATGGTGAAAATTTCATAAGCGCCCAGCCTCGAATAAGCGCCCACCTCGAATAAGCGTCCACTCTCAAGGTAAAAAAATTTAATAAGCGCCCAGGGCGGTTAATCGAATAAATACGGTAAGGTAAAAAAAAAAAAAAAACAC